AGTGGCGTATTCATATTGTTTACAATACGTCTCTCATGTCTGGTCCCATTAGGATAACCATGGGCGTGCCTATTTTGTTCTCGAAATCTGATAAAAATAACTTAGCAAAGTATTCGATTTTAACATATAAAAATTATTCAAACTTCGACATCACTTCTAGATCTTCATCAAGATATGCAATCTCCTGCTGATGATGAAGATGTGCATCTGCAGCCGATACTCTGGTATCCAAATGGAATGACCAGACAAGTGTGCTGTCGTCATTAAAGCATTATATTGGGAACACCAGCGTAGATGGGAAAAGTATTCAAGAGCTATCCATCTACTGCCTCTTGCACAGAATATTCATTCAGGAAGCTGCAGAGCCATACACAAAAATGATCCGACAAGCCCCAACATCGAAGAAATATCAAGCGCAACAGCTCTTGATTCCCCATGTTTCTCGATTGCGTTATTCCAAATATGGGTGACATATTATAGAAGGTCGCCTTATGATCTTCGTATCCGAAAGCCATATTGATGATCGCTCAAGTATTCAAGTATATGGTGGTTTACGGATTTCTCCATGATTTTTGATATCACTGATAAAAATGCGACTGGTCTATAGTTATTTGAAAGATTTTTCTTGCCCTTTTTGGGAATATGCTGAACGCCAGCAATCTTCCAACAAGAAGAAAAAACCTCTTCCTTGTAAGACAGATTGAAAAATCTTCAAAATACTGGTGCGAGTTCATTTGCGCACTTCTTAAGTACGATGACGAACACTTCGTCGGAACCAGACGCCTTATTGATATTGAAGTGTTTCGAAATTCGCTTGACTAGACGTTGTCGAAAAGTAATTTCCGGCTTTGGGATTTTAGTGTGAAAATTGTGGGTGGTGCCTTTTCCAGAAAATCAACTGTGGAGTGGGACGCAAATTATTCAGCTAGTATATTTACTTTTTCTATAGCTGTTGTTGCAATCCATTACATCTTTATCTCCGACCAGAAGGATCTAGACCTGTTGGGACTGGCAAGCAATTTATTCCTAATTCTTTAGTTCGGCAAGCGACAGCTTGCTCGCAATTTTTGTTGAACCAAGATTTGCCGTTAGAAGTTTTATCGAAATAGGAATATATGCATCCATCGATAATAGAATAATGTCCGTGACTTCAGAAGCACAAGTTGATGGATCATTAGATCTGAAACAAACATCTAGCCAGGGGAAATTTCGGAAATGGTCTCGAAGATTGGTAATGCCAAACTTTGCGCCGCTCAAATGGTTCTCCAACATTAATGGGTAATTCACTCAACACTGAAATTTCTGGATTGGTTGTTAGGTATAGATCCAGAAGACTAGCATATTCTCCATCACGGTCAGGAATCCTGACTGGCTCATTTATAATCTGAGTAAGTNTATTCTCCATCACGGTCAGGAATCCTGACTGGCTCATTTATAATCTGAGTAAGTCCGCTGCTTATTGCAAAGCCTCAGCTTCGCGATCTTGTTCTTCGTTGATATTTAAAAATTTGAGCCATTCGATATTATAGACATTGAAGTCACCGAATATGAACATTAGCACTGGGATGATTGATTTGCAGAAAGTCAATAGAGTTGGCAAGTGAGAAGAATAGTGCCCTATATATTGCATATCGCTTGGCGGTCGATAAACAAGAGTATATGAATTCAGTGATCTTCTGAGAATTATTTTAAACCACATAACATCAAATTGGGGTTCCAGCATTCCCTTTCGTTGACAGAAGAAGAAATCGCTTCTGATAAAAAAAGAGATTCCAAAGTTACGTCTGAATCGGGAGTGGAAATCATAGCCGGGATATAGAAAATTGAGAGGATTTTTAAAACACTAACTTTGGTTTCTACGGCTGCATGAATATGAAGACTATTTGTTTGCAGATGTTGGTGCACTGAGTTTATATTTGAGTTGAGTGCTCTGACGTCGCAGAAATTGATTTTGAAATTGCTAGTGGGCCTCTTAGCAACTGCAGTTACCATGCTATTTTCCTGTAGACTGATGTTAGGAAGACCATGCCGACTGCCAGAAGATCCTATTGGGGAGCTATTTTACCTCCGGAGTATTTTACCCGAGGGGCGCCATCTTGCAATTTTGCCTTATATTCCCACCCTTGAAACCGGAAACAGCGAGCGATGAAAATCTTATGAAATGAAATTCTTATGATTTACAGAATTGAACAAAAGACGAAACTGCTTACAGAGTTTTAGTATTGATGAGTTCAAACTCCGCAGTTACGTTTGCAGAACTGAATGTGAAAAAGATGGGGTTAATATGTGGGTTCCAAGTCATTCAACAGTGAAGAGTAAGATTTAGATGAATTTTGTATTGAAAATGTTTTCGTAGTTTGCGGTATTACATAAATTAATAATGGTAATGAGTATGACTAATCGCTCTTTACTTAATTTCTACAGGTCGCTAGCTAGACAGCGGATACTAGAGAAACATTTCAAACCTAATACTCGTATAATAACTGTGGGTAACTTCATGTTGAGCTTTTTATGTATATATATTGAAAATTTCAATAAATTGAGTGACGTGCTCTCTCACTTCATTCTGCATGATATAATTAGTTGGTCAACTCGCGTGCCAAATACCTACTAGTATTCCTACTATTGATAATATATACATTATCTTTATTGGTGATGGAATTGTTGCGAGTTTTGATGATAACCTGTTAAATCATGTATTCAAGTGCAACTTTGAAGGTCGTCTATAATATAATTTATATTATTAATGCAAAAAAAACAATGATATGGTTGTTCTAATAAGTTACAAGACATATTTGAGAATAGTTTTCCTCTGTAAGAAGTAACAGCAGCAAGCCCTTCAACGAAAAATGGATTGACAATAAGGTGTAACAGTCTAGCTTCTAGCTCAAACATGGAAGATTTTTGAGTTATTGGATTTATATTGATTATCTAAAAAGCAACATTTCATCATACATATACCACCATATCGTTGATACTACACGTCCAGTTGACCACGGCTAACTAGCCCGAATTTTGTTCTCTAATAATAATAATAGTAATAATAAGAAAGGACATTTATGAACACTGGCAGCCACTCATCTTAGACTCTCCAGCCTTAGTTCAGTCTGAAACTTTCAGCAGAGAGCTTCGATAGTCTGAGCTCAATAAACTTCACAACCCTTTAACCCAGGATGACATTCGAAAAGCCCTTGTAGGCACAGATGGCCTGAACACGTATTGATAAAGAAAACCTCCAAGCACCTACCGCCATCTGGCGAGAGTTTTCAACTTATGATTAGACGGAGAGCAGTCGATTTCGGATTAGTTTATCGAGGGACAAACTGTTCTCGTCCCAAAAAACGGAGATTCGATTCCTAAAAATTACAGATCGATTACATGCTCTTATACATACGAATTCTCTACTCACCTCAGTCCACCGAGTATTTGAACGGATATATAAGTAGAGAAGACTCGCTAGACGTAAAGAGAACCTGGAAAAAAAATCAGTCCTTGAGGGTAATGGAAGAGTACACGCATGCTACCGGTATGAAATTCGAGATAGATGAATTTGCACTGGTCCATCTCAAAATAGGACGATGCGGGGATTACGAAGATGGTGTGCAGCTGATATACGGAATCATCCTGCATCATCTGAATGCCGGAGAGACGTATACTTACCTCGTGGTGGAACAACGCCATTCACAAGAGGTGACAGCAGTAACTCTCTCCGGCATGTATCAGCACAAATTCCGACAAATCTGGTCATCAGAATTGTTGGTGAAAAACAAAGTTGCTGCTTTCCGTTCCAATCTTACTCCACTCGTTTGGAGTAGTGAAGTGAACTCGGGATGAGCTCAACTCGACGCAAGGACACCAAAAATGATGCATGTTCATAGGAGTTGTCATCCCAAATCGTCCGTTTCATGGTTGTACTTCCCCAGACAATAGAGGGGCCGTGAAATTTTGAATTTGGAGTGTCTACAAGGCAGAATGGTACTGGATGGAGTCTGTAAAGTCATCAGGAGTTCGGATCGCCTTCTATGCATGGTAGCAGAAGCTACCATGCATAGAGCAGAAATTAGAGCATTTCTCTTTAGGGCAGCTTCCAGAGCGGCTGATGACTTTGGTTCTGTTTCGACACTGATCGAGGTGATCACAACTCGGTCACAGAGTTGTTGAAACTCATTCAGCAAAAGAACCACATAAAGGCCGCAGAGATCACTTCACTACTGCGGCAACACTAGAATAAGCCAATGCTCCTTCACGGTATTGTCGGTATTGCCCTCAGTCCCGTGGGATATTGAATTCGTTGTGGAGAATGTGGAGTGCCGAATTGATTGAAACTACTTTTTACCCGCCCTTATGCTCTTACAAAAGGAGGAAAAACGGATAAAATATCGAGATTTTCTCTTCGAACTACGCAGACTCTAAACCCGACCACTCGGGTTATTCTGATTATTGGATTGCTTGGTGGAATGATGCCCTTTCTACTCTCGAATTTCAAAATTATGACGACTTGCTGCACCATGTCTCGCCAAGATTTCTAATCTTGGCGGGACAAATGAGGAAGGCACAAGATTTTTGGACCCAATAATAACTTACCCTACGGTGTGGGAAGTGGCCATTGATTGATAATATTGGTGTACCCTCCCGACTGTGTTGGAGTAGTAGTAAGGTTCATCTGGGTCATAGCTCTAATCGGAAGCATCGTCTAGATCATCTGAAAGCCGCAGAGATGTTCAATCACATTCGGGAGAAAAAAAAGCTACTCCTAAGAAGTGAATACAATGGAGAATTCTCTCTATGGTATTCGGCACTGTCGGGTAAAAAGTTTCTATTGCTGCGATAAACGTGTTCCAACGTAGACACCTCGTTCAGTGTCGAAAATTAAAACAAGTTCATCGACTGCTTCGACAGTTACCTTTAAGAGAAATGATTCGATCATAGCTTTGTCATGGCTACAGACCATACAGAGGAAAGGATCCGAACTCCTGATGACTTTATAGGTAACAGATATATATCTACCAAATGTTCAAACTCTATTAGTTAGTTAGTAATATTTAGGCACAAAACGAACTCATTCTGAGATCAGGTGCACTTAATTTGTAAAAAAAACTGTAATGTAACTGTATTACAACTACAAGTGTGATTGAATCGAAAAAAAAGGACACTCAAAAGTCCACTGCCTTCCAGTTGCCGGGGAATGTTATGACCGTAGAACGAAAAATTCAGGACGCAAACTCTTATCTTTACCGATCTTCACGGCTCAACACAGTTCCTCTCGGGTCCACTTGACTACTCCAAGAGAGAAGAGTAGTATCGAAACGGCAAGGGTTATCCATCCATAATGCACGATGTTAATTGTGAGTCACACCTTAATGTCAAGTTGTTTGCTCAACTTAATTTGACATTTCTTTGTTTCAGTGTTTGACAAATTCAACCATAGAGAGGTTCACAATTGTATTTCTTCGAAAATGAGGTCGGCCAAGCAGTTACCGTAAATGATATTCGCTATCTCGAGACGATAACGGACTTATTGTGGCCACAAATTGAGGATATGGACGTGGACGATATGTGGTTCCAACAGGATGGTGCCACTTGCCACACAGCCAACGACACAATGGCTCTTTTGCGCGAGAACGGCCGTGTTACCTCATGTCATGCCGATGGTAATTGGCCGCCACGATAATCCGGTTCAACACCATTGGACTTCTTTCTTTAGAGATATTCAAAAGTAAAAGTGTACGTCAAGAATCCAAAAACAATTCAAGAGATGAAGGATGAGATAATTCGGCATCGGAAAGTGGTATACCACCGAATCCGTAAAGAACATTTGCCCGATAATTTGTTTCAGAAATAATTGTCATAGATCCTTCTATCATATTAAAAAAATTACGATGATTCTTTGAAAATTGTTTTATTCACAATTAATATCGTGCATTTTGGTTAGACCACCCATTATATTTGTAGAGACTGTAGGACGACAAATCTTCTAGTTGGAACTTTCAATCTCTATCAATTTCATGAAAAATTTATTTTAAATATTTTCTCTTACATTAATAACTTATAAAACACATAGTCGAAATAATCTACAATTTAAACAGCATTCTTAGCTTGGAACAAACTTATTGAAATCATACTTCAAATTCAACAAATTTCTCAAATAGTTTCTCAATTGGCAGTGAAGCTGTACCTACGCGTATGATACTTCCCTAACCGCTAACGATATCGAAATCTTCCACTTGATATCAAGTGCTGTAACAGACGTTGAGAAGTATAGAAAATCCTTATCCATCGTGAACATATTTGCTTAGAAAAAGTTTTTAAGTGCACGTGTACACTATCCATGGAGGCTAAATTATAGAAACAATATTCTGTTTACCACTTAAGCTACTTCAACTTTTCCATTAGATGCGAACATATTCGAAAAAAAAAATTTTTTAGGCTCTTTTGATTCGAATCTTATTTGTCTATACACTATATGCCTACCGTCTTTCAAACGCATTTCATTAGAATATGTGCGATAAATGCATGAATTCAGATAAGGCTTACAAAACTAATCCAAAACAAGCATTGTTTCCAAACGTCAAAACTCTACTTGACACACGTTTCATCAAAAAAAGCTGGCGTCTTCTGCAGATGAAGAAACCTAATATATGTAATTCCTAACACCGAAACTGGTCTCTATTTATATCTAATTGGGTACAATTTCACTTTTCGACACACATCAATGATTTCGAGTAGTTATTCACGGGAAATTTTCTTGTGAAAGTTTTCGCTTACTTATACAGAGTGAAGTAAACATGGGATGTTATTTCTAGATTTTCAAAAATTTCAAAAAATCCAGTGGCATGTATCGATCTCCACAATTTTACAGTTTTCATTAATTCTATGGCCGTTCTCCAAGGCTTATTGAGCGACACTAGATTTGGGTCTCCGAAAACTGATACGTGTTGCGTGTTCTTCAAAACGAGTTTTAATAGATCGCTCAGTCTGACCGACATACGTTTTGTCACAGGCTTCACAGCTTATTTCATTAATCTCAATTTTCAACATCTTGTCTTTAGGGAAACCTAATATTTGTTGAAGTGAACAAGAAGTTTTGTAGTCTACTTTCACGTTCAACTATGTATTTAAAACTGCGATCTAATCCGTTAGTGAATCGGTATATTTTTGAATTTGAATTTTACAATGATTCTCTTAAATTGACGTTTCCTAATTAACTTATCTACTATATTAGAAGAATACACCCATTGCTTTTAGCTATGTTCTTGATAACGTTTCTCCCAATAGCAAATCTTTCTTTACTCAAGGAAAACGTAACAAGTCTACGGACAAGAAAATTCAGTTTAATAGTGTGAGCTATCAGGAATGTATCTGAAAGTACTGGTAGTCTACCTATAGATCAAAACCTAGACCCGGTCACTTCTAACATAGTATAATACCTTTATCTTTATACTATGCTTCTAATCTCTCAGACATCCAAGAATGGTAACTGCGCGTTAACATATCGGATCTAAGTCTTTGGAAAGTAATCTAACTCCTCTTTTGGTTCCAACTCAAATTTACTCATGAAGAGATTAGCTATAAAAGGGATAGTAGGTTTCCCATTACTGTGCTTTCATGCTGTCTTCAGAAACAGTTATTGGACTGGAAGCTATTCTGTTCCATGCAGATTTTTGTTAATTGTATGTATTCTCCGATTACTTCTCCACTGATACCATTGACCCTCAGAATATCCTTCAAATATTCAATAGTTTTTGGTAAACAATGAGAAAACATTAAATGATACTAAACTCTCTCCATCTGCAACTTCACATCCTTAACCTTCTCTATGAATTCATGTAAATTAATAACTGTTTGGGTAGCCATTTAGCAATTATAAAGGTAAAGGAAAGTATGGCGGAGACAATTGGTCGCACCGACTTACCAGGCTTGTGAATTTTTGGTATACCATATTTTAGGAGCTGTATGACTAAAAACCTGTAAACTCCTGTTCAAAGCCGCCACGATAAAATATTGACACTTTTTGACTGTGTTTTTCATTTGTGAAACTATTTAAGGCAATGGGTTCCTTTGTTACTTATTATAAGGACCGCTCCCAATTAAATCATCAATTCTCTGACGTGTAGAATATCACATTATTGCCTTTGTCTGCTTTTAGTTATAAAACGTTTTTTACCTTCATTATTTATATATTCATAATGAAATTATCATTAATTTTCATTGACAAGTTACTAGAAATTTGTTCTTCGCAAGCCTTCCGATCAAACCCTTCCGATGTCTCAGGTAAGTGCTGAATTGCACTTTTAACACTGATCACAACATCTTATCTTCCAAAACTTCACTCGGAGGTCGCAAAACAAATTTCAAACTCACATTTAATAGATCAAGTTCTTCCTTATCCAAAGATTGACTCGAAAAATTTTCAACAATGTTGAGTATTGCAGTTCTGGTATTTGAGAATAGTGTTCACAGTTTTTCTGCTGAAATATCAGGTATGACATTCAGCTGTACTGTTTCTATGCCAGACGTTCCCGTTCTACCTTTTCTCACAAAACCATAAAAACTGCCAGAGTAAGAATTTTTCTAGAAAAATTGACTTAAGAATGCGATAATGGATTTGGAAACAAAAAGTATTTTGAAGATCATTTAATATATTTGAATTATTTAAAAGATTTGATGATCTATTTGTGGTTGTTGAACGTGGATATTTTGGAAAAGTGAAAGCAATAACCCAAGTAGGTGGGTATTCGACTGAAAGTTCTTGTAGGGGTGTCACACTGTTTTTCGAGTTTGAAAGCCGTAGATTTTTGGAATTTCTTCCTGACGTTTCACTGGCGCGAGTGGCTAGTTTCTTCAGAGGTTTAACCATCATGGCTTGCTGTCCGATGACTAACTTTTAGGCTTCGTAAAGCGTATTTATGCAGGTAAATCATTTGTATTGGTACCTGTATTTGTATCTGTACTTGTACCTGCACTTGTACCTGGAACATTAACAATCTTGCTGCCTGTTGTCATTCTGTTTGTTATTCTCGAATTCCTTAAAATGGGGTTCAATATTCGATTGAGGTTCACCGCTTATTCTTTTCTGTTGAAATTCTCCGTGTGCTTGTGGATCTCTATTGCCTCCCGTACCAGTCGGCTATAGTACTCCCTGGTTGGGGGCAATTAGTTCTGTGTTTTCAAACAAAATTACGTGGTCTCCTTCACTAAGTGCGTGTTCTGCCACAGCTGACTTGTCCGTTTGGCCTAGTCTGCAGTTCCTTTTATGCTCTTTCAGTCTTGTTCCCATGGATCGTTTGTTGGTTCCGATATATACCTTCCCACAAGTGTACGCTATGCGATAGACCCCTGCTGCTGATAATGAGTATCTTTTGTCTTTAGCCGACCTGAGGCTTTGTTGTATCTTCCTCGTGGGTTTGAAGATTGTTTCGATGTCGTGTTTATCCAATAGTTTTCCAATTATTTCCGTGACCCTAGAGATAAACGGTAGATATGCGCGTGCAATCATCTGATACTTTTTCGCATTTTGAACCGTGGACCTTTTCGGTTTCATGGCTTTCCTGATTTCGAAGTCACTGTGTCCGTTCGATCTCAAGGTCACTTCAAGGTAATTTAATTCCCTCTCCATATATTCTGGTTCACATATTCTCCGAGCCCGTTCCGTTAGAGTGGAGATGACTCTGGTTCGATGACTCTGGTTCGACAGTGCGTGCAAGTGTCTATCTGTGTGTGTGGGTTTTTGATACATTTTGTGGGTTAGTCTGGTACCAAATCGTTCTACTAGTACACCTAGAAAAGGTATCCGTTGGTCCTGCTCAATCTCCATGGTGAATTTTATGTTAGGTTGTTGGGCGTTCAAGTGGTTCAGGAAACGGTTCAGGCCGTCTCTTCCATGTTTCTAGATGACGAAGGTGTCTTCCACGTAACGTAGCTACAAGGTCAGCTTCAATTCAAAAGTGTCTATCGCTTTTCCTTCAAACCATTCCATGAAATAATTTGCTATCACTGGGCTAATTGGACTCCCCATCGCAACGCCATTAAGTTGATAATAGAAGTTTCCCCTCCATTGAAAGTATCTTCCTGTGAGACATGTTCTAAAGAGTTCGATGACGTCATTCGGGAACACGTGGGCTAACCCCCTTAGAGAGTGTTCCAGTGGGACATTGGTAAACAAGGACACCACATCGAAGCTGACCAGAATATCCGTCAGCTCTAGTGTTAAGCCCCTAATTTTACCAACGAAGTATGTCGAGTCCTTGACGTAGGAGTTAGTCTTTCTCACATGAGGTTGTATGAGCGAGGCCAGATGTCTCGCCAAGTGGTAGGTCGGAGAGCCCGGGGTACTGACTATCGGTCTCAGTGGCATGTTGGTTTTGTATATTTTCGGAAGCCCGTAGAGCCTAGGTGGAACAGCTTCAGTTCTAAGAATGGCTTTCTGTGTGGTTTCCAACAGTGAGGAAGATCTAATGATTTTGTTCACATTCCTCAACTTAGATTGCGTTGGGTGCCGTTGAAGTTTGCGATAGTTTGCCGGGTCTAGTAGTTCTTCAATTTTGTTGTTATATTCTTCCGTTTTCAGAATCACCGTGGCATTTCCTTTGTCTGCTGGAAGTATCGTGATGCTCTTAATTGAGTTCAAGCCCTTTAAGGCTGCAATCTCTCTTTTAGGGATGTTGCATTTTGGAGGTCGTGCCTGATTTCTTCTGCTTCTTCATCCGGTAGATTCCTGATTGCCGCTTCTGTACCAGCGATAATTTCCTCGTTTGGAACATGTTGTGGCATGATCGCGAAGTTACCGCCTCGTGCTAACACTGACGTTTCATCTTCAGTGAGAACCCGGTTCGTTCGGTTTATGGCCACTCTGGACAAGTCTAAACGAGGGGCCTCGTGTAATTTTTCGAACTTC